TCGATTGGCGACCTCATACTAGGCACATAGAATCTCGAATCAAATCCCATATGAGTTTACTTCGATTTCGGAGCCGAGTAACCCCAGATTCCAATGATCGAAATATGATAACTTGTCCAAGTCTCTCGTGCGCCCGGTTTTAACTTACGGCTCAGCTGGGAAAATATGGGAGAGACTTGAAATCGAACAAAACAAAGCTCTTAGAGCTGCAATAGGTCTTCCTCATTATATCTCCACGACTTATGTTCGCAAAATCTTCAAAGACATAATTTCTCCCATTCAACAATATTGCACAGAACTTGTTGAGCGAGCACTCATCTGAGCTCAAATAAGCGACGACGATGTTACGGAAGAAAATCTCACCTTCCTTCTCGCTCTATAAAAATATCACAAATAACTTTTATTTATTTCCTCTTCTTTTATTTATTTTCTACTTTTAGTTATTTTCTCTTTTTTTTGTTAAGCAGAAGACTTAGGTCATGTGCTACTTTCATTATTTCAAGATCTTTTAAAATAAAGCCTGTTGCTGTCTCAATGTAAGAAGTTTTAAAGAATCACTTTTTTAACATGCATAGCTTGGAGAAACATTAACTTTAAGAATTATAACATCTTTGTCACTGGTGGACATATTGAAAAACTATGTCGGACCCTTTTTTCTAACATGTCACAATTGCGGCTTCTCTTACTGGACCGTGTATTTGCCTCTCCATAAAAACGATATGGTACGTGTAGAATAAATAACTTTACATTTGGATGTAATTTATCAAATGATAATATAAATGATTCTGTATGTTCAATAGTTTGTAAGGTTGGTTCAGTAGAAAGATTTATAGTTCCCATAACGAAAGTGGCAGTTGATGACGAAGGAAGTAGCTGGTAAAAATCACCATTGTGTGATTGTTCATGTAGACGATTTATATTGCTACCAGGCCTAGTTTTTACTTGTGCTTGATGTTGTGTTGTGCATATATGTTTTGGTACTAAATCACGAGTTGTACTATCGCCAATTACTATATTTTTACTCAATTTTAGTTTTGGTTTCGAAACTACATGTGTCTGTGATGATCTGGTTGGCATTTGAGAAGTAATACGTGGACCGTGTATTTGCCTCTCCTATGACAGGCATCAGGTTCTGGAGCCGGTATCATATACTAATAACCGTAGCAGAAATATCACGTTTTTTTCTCTCTTTTATCGATACTTTTCTTTTCCTTACTCGCACTCTAATAACAGAAGAGATTGAAGATCATCGGTATTTTTGCTGCGTTTGTGGCTATAATATGCCGGTGTCAACTCTTCTTTGGCTATTTTCTTCTTCTCTTCTTCATTCATACATAGCATAGAATAGAGACAGTGTATAGCTGCTTTGTCCACGTGTGACAGAAAAGACAGAATGACAGAAAGGATAGAAAAGAATGAGGTTAAATAATGATGTCGTACGTGATGTGTGTGCTTCATTCGTGTCAGTATCTAGCTATCTATCGTCATTCCTATTAGAAGACAAGTAAAAACGATCACTTCTTCTTATTATTATTATTGGCTTTTCTTATTATTCTCCTTTCTTATCATCTATGGACGGACGTGTATTCTAACCACTGAGTGTAGTAGCCATTTTTATTTAGGGTGTTGATCGCGTTTCGACATAAAATCAGAAAACGGGTCATGATGATTTTGATCTTTACTATTTTCCGATTGTTGTACAAGTTCACTATTATCATTTCTTGGAATTCTCTCTAAAATCTTTTCCATGTTTGTATTTTGTGTATTAGACTATCTAAATAATTTTTAAACAAGTAATCTTTTGATTTTTTCCTGGGTCGAATGATATATATTTCAAAACTCTTCGTTGATTTTCATTTTTTCGCGAAAATTTCAGTAATTTTTCGCTGTGACAGTCCGAAAAAAATGAAAATCATCGAAGAGTTTTGAAATATATATCATTCGAGTCGGTTTTCGTTGGCGATTCTGATGGAGTTCTGGTGGAGAAAAATGAGAATTACGGGCAGAAATCTGACTTTTTCGCGTCTGATCTAGAAAAAATGAATTTTCCCAGAGGAAAATCAGTTTTAAAAAAGCTCTTTATTGTTGTGAAGAGGAGCACTCAGCGAATCTAACGACGTGTGAGGTGAGGCTCCACGAGCCTCCACGAAAAGCTAGACAGGTTTTTAAAAATAAGACCTGTTTTTTAGCCGTTCAATTCGAGGCATCCCTGGCGGACAGGCATTTAGGCTACAACGGCTTTTAGACCGTTTTCTAATTCAGTTTTCAAAGCTGACCAGGAACATGGTAGTTTGAATATTCCAAGTTGTAAAGAAACTTGTAAAATTCAACTTTAAAAAAGACATGAAAAAACGTTTCTTTTAGTTCTTTCGAGTTTGTTCGATTTTTCGACCGGAAAGAAGCCTTAAAACAATTCAGGGAACATTTATTCTTGATCGTCTTGCAATTCTCTATCGAATGGTGTACAAAATGCACCTTTGATTAAAAAACCGGTGTCGTGAATAAAGAGTAGCCCGTTCGTTGTTTTAACACTTGAAGTAACTCAAATTCAACTGAACCTGTTATTTTTCTCAGAATGTTGTAAAAATCTTTACCATCACATGTTAAAGTATTGCCAGGTAATATAGTTATATCAACAAAGAAGTTATGTTTACTTATCTAGTACAATGTTCGAATACGTGTATCCACAGCAAAACGTTTTATTCGAATGAGAATAGAAAAAAGCATGAGAATAACATAAACTGCGAAAGAGAAAATAGATTCGAACATTAGGGTGAGACATAATTTGCTTGTGGCATAGGAAATTTTCCTTTTCTTCGATCTTTGTTTTCTCTTTTTTTCTCGTTCCTTCACCATAGTCAAAAATTTATTATTTTTCGTTTATGCGAGGGTCTATTGACCATGCTCAGCAGCAAAATTAAAGAGAATATACGAAGAATAATTACAAAAAAGGATAGAAACGAGCGACCTTTTTAAATTCACTTCTTCTGTCACAAGAAACCGACCTTGCAACAGACAGCTACCGGTATGTTTCTTCATTAAAATAAGTAATTAAAAATCATTGTGATACAAATAGATGATACCAAAGTTTATCTATAAGTGAAGTTTGGGTTCGTTCCGATCTGACGCTATTTTCACTATCTTGATGATGTTGAGGCTCCTTTGTATGATATCAGAATCTGCGCATCAGTTTCTTATACCTTACCTATGCGAAGCATACGACATTTCTTATCTGTGATTATCAGTCCTTTGATGGGCAAAGAGCATACCGTGACATCACAGAAACTCTTCTTATCTATCGAGCGTGAATGACTACCACTTCTTTTTTTTCTTTTGTCCTGAAATGTTTTGTTGTTTTATTTCGCATGTGTTGATAGATAAAAGCACATTATTCTATCGAAGTATTGGCTTTCATATTCAAGAATGGGTTAGGAAGAACTAGTGGAGAAGAAACGCAAAGCCTTGGCCAAACTAATACCAGAAAAATGGCGAATTTCAGCCGACAAACTACCTGTCGACTCTCAACACTCGGTGGTTTCCTATTCTGAGACAAGTGGTTTGTTATGTGACGAAGAATTGACTATTACACAACTAACAGTAGAGGAATTGGCAGAAAGAATTGCCTCCCGCAAATATTCAGCCGTTCAAGTCTGTGAAGCCTTCTGTCATCGAGCAGCTATCGCTCATCAATTAGTCAATTGCCTCGTAGAAATTTTTTTCGATGCGGCAATAGAGCGAGCGAAAGAACTTGATGATTATCTTTCTAAAGAGGGAAAGACTGTCGGTCCTCTACATGGTGTGCCAGTTTCGCTGAAGGATCAATTTCGCATCAAAGGTGTTGAATGCAGTATGGGTTACGTGGCCTGGTTGGGGAATATTGATGAAGAAGAGAGTGTTATGACTACATTACTAAGAAAAGCAGGTATGTATTCTCTTTTTCTTCTTATAAGAATGATTTTATCATTAAATTGTACACAAATCTATGCTTCCATTACGATTCAGTTATCTCTAATGAAGCCGAAAATAGTCTGAATTTTCTCAAAAGCAAAGGAAAGATCTTTTCGTAACGAATATAACTAAGACGAAGTTGCGCTCTTCCATGTCGCATGACTTCACAATGTCGTTTACCTTGTTTTAATGCTAAAACTACTCAAATGGTTCTGCAGTTTTTCTCCTATTTTGACCGAAGTAGTATGCATGTGAGTCAACCGCTAAATATTACAAGATCTATGTCACACTTTATTAATTTTGTAAACTCGATTAATGTTAGGAAAAAAATCTTGTTTTCTGCCAATAGGTGCCATCCTTTACGTGAAAACAAATGTGCCGCAAAGTTTAATGGTCGGTGAAACGGTTAATAACATCTTTGGTCGTACAATGAATCCATACAATCGACTTCTTTCTTGCGGTGGTTCAAGCGGTGGGGAGGGTGCTCTAATTGCTCTTCATGGTAGTCCGATAGGTATTGGTACTGACATAGGTGGTTCGATTCGTATACCAGCTGCGTTCAATGGTCTCTGGGGTATTCGACCAAGCCATGGACGAATGCCGTATGCTGGAGCAAGGAATAGCATGGAAGGGCAAGAAACAGTACATTCTGTCTGTGGACCCATTGCTCACACAGCAGAAGATTTGGCTTACTTTATGAAAGCTATCTTGGAACAAGAACCATGGAATTATGATCCGAAAGTAATCGAGATGCCATGGAGAGAGGCGAAATACAATGAAGGCAGGGCAGGAAAAAAGATATTTGGCGTGACGACGGTCAATGGGTAAGTTAATGTTGAAATTTTGTCCTATCCGTTTCTTCATACTATTAATTATTATTCTGTCAGAGATTGAACCTGGTTTGCAAGTAAACGGAGAAAAAATCGAGTAATTATTTGAAGATTGAGAATTCGAATAATTGTCAGCTTATTTACTTAAATTAATTTATTCTTCAGAAATATTAAAACATCGAGAGAAATTTTCGATCTAGAGGTATCACGTGATCTTTCATCATAGATTTATATTTCACTGTTAACAAATTTTCATATGAATTCAGTCTATAATAATGATGAATACGTGAGTTAATTGTAGTGTTCTGGGCTTCGACGGAGTAGTGATGCCTCATCCACCTATTCTTCGCGGCATTCAGTTGGTCGTTGACGCTCTTCAAAGAGCTGGTCACACTGTTGTCGAGTGGCGACCTTACAAGCACAAATATGCCGTTGACCTGATCGGTTCGATTTATAGAGCAGATGGTGGCGAAGACATTCGAAATGTTGTGACCTTAGGCGGTGAACCATTAATATCAAATATTGCCAATATTATTGGTCCTGGAGTAAAAGAGAAAATTGATCTTAATGTTATGTGGGATATTCAAATAAAGAAGTACGAATATCAACAAGAATACTTGGCAATCTGGATGGAAAGAAATGAAATTAATGCTTGGATACAACCCATAGCTCCTCATGCCGCCATTAGACACGATCAGTACAAATATGGTGGTTACACATCTGTGATTAATCTGCTCGATTATCCAGCTGTCGTCGTTCCAGTGACGTTTGCCGAAAAAGAGACAGACATTACGGATCTGAACTATAAAGCCATCAGTGATTTGGACAGACAAGTGCATGATGATTATCAGGCGGATGTCTACAATGGTGCACCAGTAGCCGTACAGATTATTGGGCGACGATTGCAAGAAGAATATGTTATTGGTCTTGCTGAACAAGTTGGAAGAGCTTTGGGTTCTTCATAATTCTGTATGGAACGGAAAAACTAATTTCATCCAGTTTACACATTAATTCTCTTGTTCTGATATCAGTTGAAATAGATAAATTTGTTTATCACTCTAAAATAACCTTTCAAATAAATGTAAATTTGAATCAATATATGATTATCAGATTGTGTCGGTTATTCTTGTAATAAAGAATTTTTCACTAATAGATTTTGATCTTACATATTTATAGAAGAAAAGCACGAAGCAATATTGAAGAGACTTTCAAATATAAGAAAATTTGTTGTTCAATCCTCGAAATCTCTTGTTGACGTGTAATAGATTCCGTGATCCTGTTAAAAGTAACGAAGCTTCGAGAATGATCGCTCAGTGCTTTCATCATTTCCTTCGATACTTTTTTCTATTTCTTGAAAAATGTATTGAAATACAAGATTAATGAGAGGACAAACATAAGAAATGTACTCATTATATAGGTAGATCCACTATCAGAGATGGATTCAGTGTCATTTTACCAGACTTGGGAAAAATCGGAGTTGGTCGATTGAGCACGTTATATCGTCGCTTAACTTTAATAGCTCATAAACGTAAAATCGATCTAAATTTTCAGCAATGGTCTATAGGGAAAAACATGTTGTTCCATCATAATCAGCATCTAACTACACAACTATCATCGAACGAGATTGAAAATTGTCAAAAACATATTTATTGAAACAACAAAATCAAAAG